CTACTCTTATGATTTTCTAAAAAAAGAAAGAAAGAAAGAATTATGATCTCTGTACAAAACATTTATAGCCTGATTTCTCCCTCCGCAAGGAGAACGTCAAAGCATCTAACAGCAACGAAGAAGAAAACAAACGATAGACAACAATCACATCAACAACAGCCCCAATTAAAACATCAGAAGAGAGAGGGGAAAGTGTATAATATAGGCAGGTTACGGTCTTGGCTATTTTGATTATTTGCATGTCTATAAAAATATGTACTTCCTCCTTGATTCAGTATGTCAAAATGCTGGGCATAAACCCCAACCAGCCTGGGCAAGTGGTGTTGTTTTCCTGTTTTACTGAGTGCTTCTAACAACTAGCTTCGACCTCTTGCTGTCATATGCAGAGACCGGTAAGACGCTGAGTAGGAGGAATGTTTCTTTCTGACATTTTGCCAGCATCTGTGGCTGGCATCTCAGAGTTTCTCTGAAGATGCCAGCCACAGATGCTGGCGAAATGTCAGAAACTCTTCTAGAACATGGCCACACAGCCCAAAAACCCCACAAAAAAACTATGGATGCCGGCCATGAAAGCCTCCGACTTCAAACCCTATGAAATTCATGGGGTCACCATAAGTCAACAGGCAACCTGAAAGCACACAGTCATACACATAGAGCTGATGTAGAATATCAGCCCAAGATTTTAGGAGACCAAGCATTCATCAGGTCATTCTTATTAAGTGCTCACACCGTTTAGGGATAACTTCCTATTGATTTGGAGGCATCCCCAACAAAAGTGGATCTCAACCATTCCATGGCTGATGGTCTCTCAGTCATTGGGTTGGCGAGCCTATTCTGAGTTGTAGCCCAAACTTTAAAGCTCACCAAGGTGCTGCAACTATTTGGGGGATAAGATGGAATTGCTAAAGCTGGGACGGCAGTTTGGTCCACTGGAAAAACATGGTGGCAAGCTGTCTGAGTTTAGCCAGACACAGTCTCAACGTTGAACTGTTTTGACATTAATTCATTTCTGCCCTGGCTGCTCAGAGGCACTTAACAAACAAGAGCTAAATTTCCTTTTTCTAAGTGATGAATGCATCCCCTGAAGGCTAAAGGTCACCATCGGGGTAGGTTTTGGTCCCTAAACCATGATGCACACACATTAAAAAAGACACCACTGAAAAATAAGTAAAAATACATGCAAAGACACACACACACCCAAACACACCCTCCCCAGGTAATAGTAGTCGGAGGAGGTAAGCTTGTTTTAGTTTTGGATAATCTTGGGCACGTATAATCTAGTTAACACTTCTTTTGCTAAGTATTTTGCTTTAGCAGTTGCAAGCTATGGGTTCACAGTTGAGATTCTGAGAAGATACTGGCAGCCTGATTCCTCCAAAAACCAGGAATGTTCAGGAAGGTTGATGGCCCTTCCTACTGATGCTCAAAGAGTGGGATCAGGAAGATTTCCCTTCCTTAACAGGACACTTTACCTTTTTTTGGACTACAACTCCCATGAGTTGACAACTGGGCAATTTTGGAATTATAGTCCAAAATCAAAGGCAACTTTCCCAAACTCTGCTTTCCTAGTTCATCCTTTCATAAGCATAGTGTTCACAGGGTTCCCACATGGAAAACCTGAAAATCACGGCAAGGAATTTTTTCGAAAATGTATATTTCTCTGAGCTGGCAAATTTTATTTCTTTCCACTCCAGTGGGAGCATCACTCTGACCTGGTCTTCATCTCATTCCAAACCAGTTTTGGAAATAATAATAATAATAATAATAATAATAATAATAATAATAATAATTCTGGCCCACAGTGACAAAGAGTTTATGCTGATGTCTGCCCCATGGTCATTTTTGCTTAGCTCCAAACAATGGCAGGAGCAGTTAAACAAACCAGTAAAACCATCATCTGTGGCTTGTTTAGTGTGGCATCTGGCTTAGTCCTCTCCAAAGACACAAACCAGGGTTTATTCTGACTCTGGCTTATTGGAAGAGATTACCAAAGCCATTGACCATGCTGAGTGGGGATAACAGAATTTGTAGTCTGAAATACCTGGATATCTGAGTCAGTCTTTGGGCTGTTTTCCAAAAGGTTCCATGAAAATGATCACTGAACTCTCTAAAGAAAATCAAGCACAGGGTTAGACAGATGGTATTCCCAATCCAAACCAGTATCATTCAGGAATGGTGTACTTGTCTATTCCCCTTAGCAAGGGGTTAGATGGATGGCTCTTGCAGTCCCTTCCAACTCTAGGATTCTGTGATTTGATAACCTTTGGATTTTGCAAAAAGTAAACTGATTACTTGTTGAGGATGCATTTCAGCTTCAGATGAGAAAACAACCTTCTGCATAGCATCAAATAACTGGAGTGTTTGCAGTTACCCTCTGCCTCTGCCTCTCCCAAATTTGATAAATACATCAGAATCCTAGGAAACAAATCCAGCTTGGGTGCCAACCATGTTGTGTCATCATGTATTATCCTGTTCCCTGAAACAAAGCATTTAAGTATCGTAGCAAGACAAAAATCCTCTCTCGTTTTGAGCACATAAGAGTGAAAGATTTGGAGTGAAGACTGTCAAGAAAGTTCCCCCCGATTTCAAAGGCCTTCCAAATTTTCCAGCTGTTCTCTTAATTCACGGCTTAGCTCCTGGTGATAGAGAATTGCCCCTTCGCTTTGATTTCAAGAGCTTCTCTATCTCTGGAAATGGCATTGGAAACAGAGATGGTAGCTGCTTAACAACGCACAAATTGTTTCTTGTTCCTGCACCAGTTGTCTTGAAAGGTGCATGAGAACGATGATACCACGATGATAACAGAGCGTGGCTAGTATGCAAGTATTAAAGAGATAGTGACCTTAACTATTGTCAAGCATCGTACTGACCAGAGGAGACAAGCAATAGCGTTGCGTTCTCCATGGATTCCCAAATCCTTCATCTTCGCAGTCCAGACAGGAAAATGGGGGAGATATTTGAAGAGACAGCGTGGTGCAGTGTTTTGAGCATTGCACTTTGACTCTGGAGATTCCCCTCTTGGCCATGGAAATCCACTGGGTGACCCTGGATGAGTCACACACTCTCAGCCCCTGAAAATCCTGTGGTAGGGTCTTCATAAATTGGAAATGACTTGAGAGTACAATACTACTCTCATATCTGCGGAGGATACATTACCAGATTTACCACGTAAATGCAAAATTGCGGACAATGGCGAACCCTATTGAAATCAATGATTTCCGGCAGAAGTTGACCCTAGAGTAGCACTGGAGGGCCTAGAGCAGGGGTAGGCAACCTTTCCCCTTTAAGGGCCAAGGGACTTCAGCTCCCAGAAGCCTCAGCCATGTTGGCCAATAGTCCCATGTTGGCCAATAGCTCCTGGGATTCTGGGAGCTGAAGTCCCTCGGCCCTTAAAGGGGAAAGGTTGCCTACCCCTGGCCTAGAGAATCCTAGAGAGAACACCTCTCTAGGCATTTTCTTGGTCTTCCGGCTTGACTCTATGGCCATCTTCCACCAGAAGCATACCACAGAACTGCACCGGAGGACCTAGAAAATGCCTAGAGAGAACATATTTTTTCAGAAGTGGCTAAGTGGAACCGTAAATAACAGTCCCACGGATACAGGAGTTATAGTGTATCCCCATTGCAATGGAGGTAAATGTTTGGGGACCATGTTCTCCTCATGCTGGCACTGTGGAGCACTGGCAGATTTGGAAAGCAAGGCAGAGTAAGAAAGCAAAGCAAAAGGATTTGTCTGTCTGGTATATTCTGATGACTAACTGGATACTGGTCATCATCACCATCTAGCTGGACTAGTCAGGATCTTGTTGTTGAAGATGCCAGTTTATCACAGCATATGCTTTTCCTAAACTGCATTTGTTTTCTGACTAGTCACTGGAAGGTAAACCCCAGCTTTAATTTGCAAGTCTGACTATTGAGGCATGCAGCTCTGGGGAAGACCCATCACAGGAGGGAAAAGGTCTTAATCACAGGGAAGACACGTTCCCCTTGATGCTGAGTTTAACCTTTTAATAAAGAACACAAAAACTTAACCCAGTTCCTTTGGTAGGTGGACCACAGAATATCCTTCTTCCCAGGAACAATCATCCGGATTCAGATAAGCTCAGCAAACGCTCTTGTATGGAGACATCAGAGACTGGCTGCTCCAGATCCCGATCTCCAAGCTTCCAAACAGGAATGCTCATGCAAGGTGCCATGTGTAGTCTTCTGAGTTGCAGGTTGTTTCTCCATTGCTGTAGGTTTTTGAGCATCCAACAAAGGCTTTCCTCATCCAGAAACCCGTGTCCACACAAGGACTGCAGATTCTAGATTAAGAAAAAGGTCCCATGTGTTTATTTAGAAGGTATTGTCAGACCCAGCATGGTGAAGTGGTTTGAGTGTTGGACTATGACTCTGGAGACCAGGGTTTGATTCCCCATTTGGCCATTAAACCCAGTTGGGTGACCTTGGTCAAGTCACATGCTCTCAGCCTCCAGGGAAGGCACAGGCAAACCTCTTCTGAATAAACTTTGTCAGGAAAACCACGTGATAGGTTGACCTTATGGCCGCCATAAGTCAGAAATGGCTTGAAGGCACACAACAACAACAACTGTCACATCCAACAATTCAGGTCCAAGATGTCTCAGGTAAATGCTTGTACTTCATTCCACTGGAGCCCTCCTCTCCTCTGAGGAATCAAAGCCAAGAAGAACCAACACGTTCTGTAATAACCAAAGTAACCTAAATCTGGCCCTTTATGAACTGTCCACATCCAAAAGGATGGCTTGGTAGAGAAAGAACTACAGACCTTGGAAGGGGAGGAAAGAAAGAAGGAAAGCTGAAATACACTTTGCCAAACTGAAGGCACTGTTAAGAGAGTCGGACGGTGAAGTGAGTCTCCTTTTTGTTTCCAGACTTGAAATCTGTCCATGTTGACTACATGGTGATAGCAGCGATGCAATTGTAACTTCATGGCTCCATCCTACAGAATGTTGGGATTTGTAGTACTTAGTACTTAAGAGAGCCAGTGTGGCGTAGTGCTTTGAGTGTTGGACTGAAACTCTGGAGACCAAGGTTCAATTCTCCGCTCAGCCATGGAAATCCAGTTGGTGACCTTGGGCAAGTCACATGCTCTCAGCCTCAGGGGAAGGCAATGGCAAACCTCCTCTGAACAAAACTTGTCAAGAAAACCCCAGGATAGGGTCCCCATAAGTTGGAAATGACTGGAAGGCACACAACAACAACAACAACCTTAGTACTTAGTCTGGTCTGCTATAGAGCCCTAGTCCTGCATTTCAAGGAGGCAGGACTAGAGTTCTCCAACAGAGTGTTCAAAGTAACTTCTCAACAAATGACAAACCCCAGGATTCTGCAAGGTACAAGCCAGGAGTAGGCAACCTAAGGCCCGGATGTGGCCCACCGAGGCTTTTGGACCGGCCCCAGGCCGGTCCTGCCACCGCCGCCGCTGATTATTGTTGTTATTACTTGTTCTTGGGGTTTTCTTGGCAAAATCTCCACAGGGGTTTTGCCATGGCTTTTCTGGGGCTGAGAGAGTGTGCATGCATATTTTTAATTTTTTTTAAAAAAATTTATTTATTTATTTATTTATTTATTTATTTATTTATTTTTGGTGCTTTGGCCCCCCAATTGTCTGAGGGACAGCAACCCGGCCCCTGGCTCAAAAAGGTTGCCTACCCCTGGTACAAGCCATGGAAATTAAAGTGGTACCAAATTGCTGTAACTTTGTAGTGTAGCCCTACTCTGTGCCCTTCCATGAATGGATGGTGATACCATTATTACCACATTTTTGGGATGCATCTCAAGACTTAGGATGTTTCTAAGGGAAGCCTGGTCAGTTAGAGGAGGAGGATAGTCTTTCTTTTGAGACACATTTAACAGACAGAAAAACCAAGTAAAGAAATCACAATGCAAGACAGCTTGGTATTAAAAACCAAGCAACTCATCACAGTTTTAGAGGCAAAAATTCAAGGGAGGAGGGATGATAAGGTTGACTCTGGTGGAGAAGAAAAGGAAACACATTTTGAAAGGGAAAAAATGATTCTAAATTCACCCACTCTGTTCTTTTTCTTTCACCTGTTCCCCCCATGATTGCTCCAAAATATAATGTTGAGAATTTGACTACTACAAAACTAACTCCCACAGCAGCTCCAAAAGAGATTAAACTCCACTTTCAAGGCAAAATACCTATTATGCACAGTTACAGGATCAGGATCTTTTCTTCTTCTTCCTGGAGGTGGAGCAAACCAATACAATCTATTAAAAACTTTTAAGCAGCCAACTATGGATTATCTGCTGTCTTGTGTCCATTAGTAAAATCATGGCAGGGAGTGAGGGGGGAACCCCGCAAAAAGAGTGCTATCAGAATTTCTCTCTGCCAGAGGAAAAACCAAAAATATAGATCCCCAAATCAACTTGAAAGCAAGCTTTCCAGTCCAGGCTGTCCATACTTTACCAACCAGGAACTTCCCAGCTACAACCAAAGAGGTTCAAATCCTCTTAGGAAAAGGCTGGGTTCAGCCAATGGCTAGAAGACGCTGGTGGTGGCAAGAGTCTGCATACCCCAAAAGTCGTCGGGAGATCGGAAAGATGGCTTTAGACGTGTGCCTGCATGGCGGGAGAACCGGGAAGGAGTTCTCCATTCAATACCAGCATCTTGTCTTTCCCAGAGTCCAGCCGCTTCTTCTTGAGCTGTCTTTGATGGATCAGAGGAACGAGAGCCAGAACCAGTCCTCCGATGATCGGGGGGACGCCGGCAAAGTAGAAGGTGTAGTGGTAATTCCCAAAATGGTCTCGGAGGAGTCCTAGAAATGACAATGGAAGACCCGTTTAGACCAGGGTGGGCTTCCACTGCAGGTCAACCAAAGTAGCATTTTTGTACATCCTGAACCTTGTTGGAGAAAATCCTAACTCACCTTAGTACTAGAGGGCTCAGTAGATGGAAAAGAGCAGCAGATAATTAGCTACCAACCATGATTTATTTGTCTACTGCAGGTTTGCATGCTCAAATTGTGTTTTGGGTTGTAAACTACAGGTAGAGCAAATCACAGCATGAACCAGAGGTCAAAATATTTACTTTGTGGGAATTACAGCTACCAGAATTCCTCATGCTCACTAGCATATAGAATTTGGAAAATTGCAGTCCAAAGTAGGTAACTTCTCCTAGGTTTGCTCTCAACTGAGCCATCGTATCCTGGTCTGATCAAGGAACAAAGAAAATCTAGGTCCAAAGGGTGATAGATGAGTTTCCACCTCTCCTTGCTAACTGAATGTGCCTTCCAAAAGTGGGAAGACCTATTGGACATCTTGAAAAATCTCAGCCTAGTTCTTCATCTCAGCTTGTGACTTTGCTTACCTGCAATTGGGGGACCTGCCGTCATTGGAATGGCCATAAGTCCCAGGAGATATCCAATGGCTTGAGATGCCTGCATGGGACCAACCAGCTCAAAGGCAATGGGAGCCATGATGGTTATGAAGAGTCCATCACAAAGTCCAAGGAAGAGGCAGACCACAATGACAGCCCAAAACTCTTGGCACTGTGGCAGCATCATGCACATGATACCCAAGACTATGAAGGAGGCAACCTAAAGGAGACAAAACATATTCAGACATCAGTGTGACAAAACATGGAGCGATTCCACACATCAAAATAAAGAAAGTGTTTTAAGCGGGGACAACTGGCTTGTGTATTCTCAAGGTCTACTTTATTCTCCCAACCTTTCCATGGGCACTGCCAGAATTGAGTGCTTTACAGAGAACTTGGGCTCTGATATCACAAAATCATTGACTGGTAGAAGTGGCAGCTAGTAAATCTCTTCTCAGTGTGGTGTCGAATCTACTCTGGCTTTTAACCCCAATTTTAAAGGAGTTATCCATGGTGCCAACTCTATTTTCAGGAGAGGATTCAGCACCAGGTCTTTAAAAGTTCTAAGTCAAACTCAAAAGTGGATCAAACGTCCACTCCCAAATAACATGGCAGCCACCTGCTGTCATAGACTGGTTGAACACGTGGATCAAGGCATGGCTTTCTCAACAAGGCAGGATCTTTTGGGTTCCCCTAGATATCTGCTCCTGTTGTGATTTGTGAGCTCTCCTGTCTCCAGGCATTTGCCCATCTTAAGTCTGGCCCAAGACCCCTTGTTCCCTAAGGAAAAATAGAAATTGCATGTACACACATCCTGCCATGACCCATTCCATGGACACAAGCTACCTAGATTTCTTATGTTGACCTACGGTAGGTTATGCTACAGTACCCTTCTATACTCCAGCTCAGAGGGCATACAACCTTCTGTTTTTCATCACCAATCCTTCTCCCAGCACCTTCTGCCTTACTCAGCCTCTTGGTATGGCTGGCCTTGAGCCATCCTCTTTTCTTCCCATGGCTGACAACCAAGTCTTCTTTCCTCCCTCCTTTCCCAGATGCCCCCCGTTTCCCCCAAATAGGTAGATCATTCACTACTTGGCACCAGGAACGTTCTTGCCTGATTTGGCTTCCCAGATCTGAAAGCACTTGAAACAACATGTTCCAGAGAAATTAGACCCTACGGACAATGCTGAATTTCGTAAAATGAAAAAGTTCTTGGAAGCAACAGAGAAAGCTGGAAGGAAAGAGTCCCCCACTGGCTTCCATAGCTGGGAAACCAATTGTGCGTTAACCACATTAGAAGCCCTCATTAAGTGACTATGAAAGGTTGCCTTGAATGCACACTCTGTGTGTGCATATTTCTTTCTGGTTTTTTAATCCTCTAAAATCTCTGCCAGGATTGCAAGATTAAAACCCTTCTCCCTCCTTAGCAGTGATTCCTAGCCAGGTTCACATATAGGCCAAAAACAGGGAGGGAGAGGGTCAACCTTTGGAGAGACCTAGCACACCAAGTTGCTCTGAGCATTTGCTTGAGACCTTCCTGCGGTTGTCTGGCCTCCTCCATTTTGACTTGCAGCATCTGAATGCATGATCTACAAAATCATTTCTGTTCTCCAGACAACTGGAAAAAGTTTTAGGTCAGTAGCAAAACACATGGCTTTGTGTGCAAAATGTCCCAGGTTCAGTTCCTAGCATTGTTGGATAAGGTTGTGAAAGAGCCTCTCCAAACGGGAGGAAAATCTTTGAAAATCCCAGGTTTTGCTCCTGTACAA